GCCTCTCTTACCTAGCAGTAAATAGGTACCTGGGAGTTAGACAGCTGCTACGGAGCTGCTTCCTGGGTGTGTGTGAAAAAAATTAGTAGTTAGTTGCAGTTCATTGACAGTTGAGAGGCGGACCGAAAGAGCAGAGCTCCACCCCCGCAAGCACAACTAGGTGAATACACACACACACACACACACACACACACACACACACACACACACACACACACACACACAGAGAGAGAGGGCTGTCTTCCTCATATGTGAAATCCTCATCTTGTTAAACAAGAAGAAAGTTGAAAAAGTCCAGAAGTTTTCAGCATGACTGGCTCCTGAAGAAAATGAACTAGACTTTGAATATTGGTTCAGTTTAACAACTCCTAGGAGAGAGAAACCAGAGGAGATATGATCACAACATACAAAATACTGATGAGAATAGATGAGATGTTGAGGGCAGGTTGTATTATCTTACAGTAGGTGATGAGGTTGGTGATGTGTAGGTTATATGTCCTGTAGTGATGAGGCTGTGTATTTTGTTGCAGGTTGTGGTTGTGGTGGTGGCTGGCAGGTTGTGGTGGTGGCTGACAGTGTGTGGTGGTGACTGACAGGTTGTGTGTGTGTGGTGGTGGCCGCCACACAGCAACATGCACTGTTCAAAAGGACAGATTTAGAGTTCCTTGATAAAAGTGGGATATAAAGTAGCGACTGTTGTTGATCCTAAACATAACACAAGGTGATCGAGGGCAGCTGGTCAAAATAGTGCTACTTAACCGTTTTCTGTTGCCACTGGAACAGAGATCAGAGGAACATTATAGTTTGTGTAAAGGATTTCCTTGAGAATGTGGGAGTGGGGGAGCCACCAGCGGAGGACCAAACTCCGGCTGGAGGATCCTCTTGCCCTCTCACCATGACCATCACGCGGCACCATTTCTGTAAAGGAGTTTAGGAAGGTTGCACGAGGTACGGGTGTTGATCTTGGCGTGTGGTGGTTACGGTTCTGTGTTCCCGCGGGGGTCCTGGACAGTGGTGATGACATGAAGATTATTCAGCCCGTCCTCTCAAGGCCTAGCCTAGCCTGGCCTAGCCGAGAGACCCGCGAATAGAAACCTTGAATGTTCATTAACCACTATTAACATGTTATATATATTTATAGAACATGTTATTTTGTCCGTAGGAGATTTTGAGGTCATGAAGGTATATATTATTCCCGAGGACAGGTTGCATAACTATCTCCACTTAATGTTACGCTCTATATCTCTAGTGTTGTAATATGTTCGATATTCAGCAGAATATATTTGATTTATTGTTAAGTTGCTTGAAACGTGTAATTTACAGTGCTGTAATTTTGTGTAAACTAACTCAGTTATAAATGTCAGACTTTTATTAATAAATCTTTTTGAATTTTAATTGAATCTATCAACAGCTGTGATTAGAGTTAGTTTAGTTCATATATTATGCACCCCATACCCATCTTGTGGGCGGTAGTGAAAAGAGTACATAATGTGGAGTGGTAGTGGAGGCACATAATGGGCTCAGGGACTGAACCCCACAATTCATATAGCTAAGCAAGTTACAATCTTGATGAGCTAGTTACAAAATGCAGTATAAGTCGTCACATCATCAATGGGTTCAAGATCGACCATAAGTACAGTTTCTAAGTTAAGCAACTGACATATGTGGAGAGCTAGTGTCACAGTTGATATGTTTGTCCTGCACACCGCTCCCCCACCATCCAGTGGGCAGCGGTGGATAGGTTACAATATTAGTTACTACCTACAGTTTGCAAACTGGTGATATTTGGCTAAAATTTCTGGTAGCAGATAATTTTGAATGAAATATTTACACACCGTTGGAACATTGGTTATAGAATTGTCTCTGAATTCACGTATCTTTTCGTACTCCATCACATAGTGACGGAAGGTGTGCGAATAATTTTGTTGACACAGTTTACATTTGGTCAGGTCTACTTCAGCAGATAATGAGAATCCCCAGAGATACTTTTAACCGAGTCTAAGCCGAGCAGTAGTAACATCTAGAAGTCTGCTGATTTTATTGGATGAACCATAGATGTGTGGCTCCTCTTGCAGGATAGTATGATGATAGATGGAATTACTGGTGTCGATTTCACTTTGCCTCAGATCTACAAGATTTTGTTTAAGTTCTTGGTGTACTATTGCTCTCAGATTGCTCACTGGACCAGACTCTTCACTACACTGGACCAGACTCTCCGTGGACTAATAGGGTTTGTGACAGTCTTGTACGGCTGCTTCTAAACCCATAACAACTTTTGTAAAAAGACTGATAACCTAATTAATTCTTGCATATAATATGCAAACTGTTTATTGGAAATGTATTAAACTAAAAATAAAAGGAAAAACTGAAAAATAAAATGACTAAGAAAGTTGAAATAATTAATGATAATAAACTTTAGATATATACACAGTGGTTTTATGTATTTAAATTTGCATAATTATATTGGTTATGATGACAGGAAAGTGTATTGAAGTGAATGGGGTGAGTTGTATGTGTTGAAATTGAAATAAGTTAATCTAGGTAAAATACACACAAAGGGATGAGGTAGCTCAAGCTATTCTCACCCTGTTCAGTACAACGTGTTCATACATATATACACACATCACAAACAATAAACATATTACCGAACATTCTGAGAGATAAACATATACATTTCACATGTGTTGAAGGTTGACAACCCCCCCCCCCCACCCCCAACCCCCAGACCGGCCACCGGAGCAGCCTACTGATTACCTTACTAGGCTGCGCGTGGCTTTATGACACCTAGTTCGTATTTTATAATTCAAGACAATGGCTAACTACTCAGCCATAGTATGATACTTTGTGAGAGTTTTGTAAAGGAACAACATATAGTGTGGTAAATGTATGCGAGTTGAGGTGGCTGGTAGCTAGCTGCTATACAGCTCCCGCCATCTGTTGACAACTTGCATAACGACGTAATCAATAGACCATCCGCTACCAGCTAGAGATATTGCAAGCGGTTACATGTTCTCTTACTACTAGTCTCGGCCATGTTGTGTTATATGTTATCTTACTGCTAGTCTCGGCCATGTTGTGTTATGTGTTCTCTTACTACTAGTCTCGGCCATGTTGTGTTATGTGTTCTCTTACTACTAGTCTCGGCCATGTTGTATTATGTGTTCTCTTACTACTAGTCTGGGCCATGTTGTGTTATGTGTTCTCTTACTACTAGTCTGGGCCATGTTGTGTTATGTGTTCTCTTACTACTAGTCTGGGCCATGTTGTGTTATGTGTTCTCTTACTACGAGTCTCGGCCATGTTGTATTATGTGTTCTCTTACTACGAGTCTCGGCCATGTTGTATTATGTGTTCTCTTACTACTAGTCTGGGCCATGTTGTGTTACATTTCTAGGAGGAGGCTGGGATTAGGAACCCAGCCTCCTCCTAGAAAATAGGATGAAGAGCCTGCCCGAAACGCTAAGCGTGCTAGTGGCTTTACAAGAATGTAAGAACTCTTGTATAAAAAAAAAGGATAAAAAAGTGGTATACCAGCATGCACACTAAAATTGGTTAGACTAGCAATAAGCTCAGTGGCACCGATTTGTATGTATCAAGTTAACATTACATGAGTATTTCGGGTGACACGATTCTTGAAATTGCTGTCTTCGTGTACAGGGAGCAGTCGGTACACATTTTGTGGAATTTGTAAAAATACACACACATCGATTTTAAAGACTGTTGTGGTCCAGTTCTTGTACCAATTGTGCTATAAAAAGACTATTGATATAGGCAGTTCACTATAGTCCGTGCTACTTGGAATTTTTTGTTCCAGGTAGCGAATCTTTAACAACATATATATATATATATATATATATATATATATATATATATATATATATATATATATATATATATATATATATATATATATATATATATATATATATATATATATAAACTTTAGACACAAACACACTCACCAGAAGAAGGGACTTGAACCCTGGCCATCAAGATGGCAGGTACACACTTATTTATACCCACTGCACCATACTCAGAGCTCTAAAAGAAGTGGGAATTCTGGGGTATTTAACTCCCAGAATTATGGGATGTGGAGTGACCTTCATATAACACATCTGTTGTATGTGTTCTCCCACATATAACAGGGCTTGATAGAAAACGTCAAGTACCCCTCACTGTACCATTGCCTGGAAGAAGAGGTTGATTGATTGATGAAGATTAAGCCACCCAAAAGGTGGCACAGGCATGAATAGCCCGTAAGTGGTGGCCCTTTTAAGCCATTACCAGTATCAAGAGCTGATACTGGAGATCTGTGGAGGTGCGAATGCACCCTGCGAAGAAGAGGGGTTGTCTGGGAGTTAAATACCCCAGAATTCCCACTTCTTTTAGGGCTCTGAGTATGGTGCAGTGGGTATAAGTGCGTACCTGCCATCTTGATGGCCAGGGTTCAAGTCCCCTGGTGGGTGTTTGTGTCTAAGTTTCTATACTTCTAACTTGCGTGTTTATTAATAAGCAAGTGTGCTCATATATATATATATATATATATATATATATATATATATATATATATATATATATATATATATATATATATATATATATATATATATATATATATATATATAATCTGTAACTACTGTCTCATTTTGTAACTTGATTAGCTATATATGAATTTTGGGTTCAGTTCTTGAGCCCATTATGTGCCCCCGTAACATTTTTTCCATTATTGCCCACAGGATGAGTTTGGAGTGACCTTCATCTAACACTAACTATGGTAAAACCCATCAGAAAGCACAGGTGCAGCAGAGCATAGGACTCATTGAAATAAAAGTCTCTTTACTAGTCTCCGTGGTGTAGTGGTAAGACACTCGCCTGGCGTTCCGCGAGCGCTTTGTCATGGGTTCGTATCCTGACCGGGGAGGATTTACTGGGCGCAAATCCGTAACTGTAGCCTCTGTTTAACTCAACAGTAAAATGGGTACTTCCAGGGACCTGCCCGAAACGCTACGCGTACTAGTAGCTGTACAAGAATGTAACAACTCTTGTATATAGCTCAAAAAAAAAAAAGTTACCGTCAGAAACAAAGAAAACGACCGAAGGGGAGAACGGGGAGAACACGACCTGACTGTGATACACCCAGTCAGATCACCCGGAAACTCTCCGGTCTCGTCACCCCTAAATCAACACAACTCTCCGGTCTTTGATTATCAAACTCTGCAGCTGGATGTGACAAGGATAATTCACCCTGTGGTCTCTGTTGGGCTCTCTACAGATTTTCAGGTAAGTGGGGCTGACTTTCCGTGAGGTCTTCTATTCCACGGAAGCCAGATTGTTTTGTTTATTTTATTGTGTCTTCACAATTATGTTTATGTGCTTGCAACCCACATATTTTGTGTGCACCAGCTTCTGTTGCCCTTCGGTCATGGCAGGGACCCTTGCCATGGTCGAAGGGAAGAGGCCGAAGACCCCTTCCCAGGCCGACGACCCTGAGGGAAACGAAACCCAAGACTGCGGTCAGTTTTCGTGTCCCACAGCTCCCATCATGGAGGCCTGCTCTTAAGGAGAGTTGTGGGTTCCCTCCTCTCGCTTCACGCAGGTCGGCGTTCAATCCCCGACCGTCCAAGTGGTTGTGCTACATTACTTCTCCCCCACCCCCCTCACCCCATCCCAAATCCTTATTCTGATAGCTTCCAAGTACTATATAGTCTAAATGGCTTGGTGCTTTCCCTTGATAATTCCCTCCCTCCTCGACTGTGGGAAACCTTAGGTAACTCATATTATAAATCTGTATATAGGTAGGCCTAAGATAGGTTTGGTAAAGTGTTTAGGTTTTGTTAACAATTATTTGAGTTAGCAATATATAAGGGGGTGAAGTATTTAGAGGGGTGATTCAATTAACAGAAAGAGAGTGAAGCACTGTTCAAGAAAAGTGCATGTATCTGGCTGTCATACACAATTTCTTTCACTTTCCTTCACCTGATTATTTCAGTTAGGGTTTCGTGTCTACCATGCATCCAGCTTCCCTGCCTCTTGGTATGAATGTGCAAGAACTGGGGTTTATTTGTTGTGTAGGAGTTGTCAGTTGGATTCCTATGGCTTCTACCTTTGATTGTATACTCCATACTCACTTGAGATGTGAGTTTGTACTTTTCAAGTACAGTACTGTACATTAACTATCAACTATAAAACTACACATTAACTACACAAGTCGTAATAACAGCATAGCGCGTAGACATGTCATTAACAGAACTGGAAACATTACTGTATTCATAAAAACTTATACAGATCTTTACAATACTGGCTGGACAAAACAGGTTTTTAGCAATCTAAATCAGATGTACATTTTAGGCATAAAATGAATGATATTTAACTTATAATTTGAAAGGTCATACAGTATTTAATAAAAACAAAGTGAGGTTTACCATTAGAGCTGTAATACATATATTGGCACAATAAATATCAAAATTAGAATAAGACAATTAGAAGATATAATTATAACAACTAATATAATTAATCATATCATGACATTATAAATATTTGCACACCCTTGGCATTTTACATAAACAGATTCTGGGATTCTCCCAGCTGAAATCACTCCAAAAACACAGCTCATATAACATCAGACTTCATTTGGACTTTGATGCCTGGCAGTAATCCATCTCTGTGACAGTAGGTCTTTCATCATGACAAATATCCAGCCGAGGTCTCCTTGCTCTCTATGATGATTTGTATTATCCTATCGTGTAGGCTTGCTGCATCATTACATATATCACACATTTTATGGTTATAAGTTAATATATCTGGAAAAGTAGGGGTGGCCAGTGATACAGTTTTAGTACAGTACAAATATTCCTCCTCTGCTCCCTGAGGGTGCATTTCTGGTTCCCTCTATCTTGAATTTGATATGTGTAGTTCTTGTCTTATTCCATTCCAGTCAGGGCGCTGAGTGGACAGCGCTTTGGATTCGTAGTCCTGAGGTTCCTGGTTCGATTCCCAGTGGAGGCGGAGACAAATGGGCAAAAAAAAAATCTTTCACCCTGATGCCCCTGTTATCTAACAGTAAATAGGTACCTTTGAGTTAGACAGCTACTACGGGCTGCTTCCTGGGGGTGTATGTAACAAAAAGGAGGCCTAATCGAGGACTGGGCCGCTGGGATGCTAAGCCCCAATATCATCTCAAGATAACCTCAAGATAAGATTCATGGCTCAAAAACATTTACTTCGGTACCTGTTGTGGATCTGAGATCTTGCTGGCATTATTCATCTCCCTTTAATCCACTTCCTGGATGTAGTATGATGTCCTAGCTAATTCATTTGGCTTGTGGTCAATCGGCTGTTCTTCTTGGATAAGAGAAGGAAAGGGAACTATCAAGAGAGTGCATCAAGCCATTACAACTATATAGCACTTGGAACAGATCAGGATAAGGATTTGTTATGGGATGGGGGGAATGGAAGCTTGACTTGGGTGATTGGAAAGTGGTGGTCCTGTGTTTTTTGTGACTTTTAGGAGGTTCTTCCTTTACAAAAGTCAATCATTCATTGCTCCTGTTGTCCCAGGAAGTGGATATTTGGCAAATCCATGCTTGGGTGCCCCTGTTACCAGTAGTGTTGGTGGGGGCATATCAAAAGGCTAGCCTTTGTTCATTTATTTTTGCTTAAAGTTTTATCCAAATAGTTTTGGGAGGTTCTTTATCCTATTTCTGGGTTTCCCTCATTCTCTGCCCTGTTGGCTACTACTGCAACAATAATTGAATGTAATTTTTAGGTTGTTTGCACTCTTCCCAAAATGCTCATCACATTCCCAGGTTATTCACTCCATTCTTAGTTTAGATTTCTGAGGCCTGTTGGGGAGAGATCTAAGGCTTAATTATCCATTTATAAAGTAGTGAAGTTACTAAGGGCCCCCACGGAGAAAGGTGTTTCAGTACATTCAACTCGTTGATTTTAAATACCTGTATTTACTATTATTTTGACAGTTGTTGATAGCCTCTTGGAATATATTTGGAATGGGGTCTGTGAGTTGTTCTACTCAATAAGCCCAGCTTGGAGTCAAGTTTCTCTTACGATAATTTAATCCAACAGGCTGTTGCTTGGCGTGGCCTGCAAGCCCACATATCCACTTCAATGTGGTTGGTTCAATACTACTTGCAAGAATGTGTCTAGTTTTCACTTGAACACTTCCACTTTTGTACCAGCAACTTTGTGGACCTATGATAGTGTTCCATGATTGCACCTATGACATCTCTACTCTTCACTGGGTCTATTCTTCATTTCCTACTATATCTTTCGCTCCAGTATGTTGTTATTTTACTGTCCAAATTTTGGCCTTGGCCATCTAGTATCTTCCATGTGTATATTATGTGATACCTCTCCCTCTTTCTAGAAGGAGTATTTTGAGAGCTTTGAGACAATCCCAACAGTTCAGGTGCTTTATCGTATCAATTGTAGGAATATAGGTTCTCTGTATTCCCTCTATTTCAGAAATCTATCTTGCTTTGAAAGGGAAAGTGAGTATTAAGCAGTTCTCAAAATGGGGCAGCACGAGTGAGTATTGAGCAGTTCTTAAGATGGGGCAGGACAAGTGAGTTGAATGGTAGGAACTTTGTGTTGTGGGTTTTGATGGTTCTTATAATCCATCTAATTTTCCTGGCCGAGAGTTTTTTTATGCTCACTAAATGTTAGGTTGTCTGACATCATTATTCCTAGATCCTTTAGAGGTTTTCCTTCCATGAGTAGATCTTTTTGTGTCTTGTGCCCTGCTCCATTGATTATTGCTGCTGCTATCCAGTGGTTCATTTAAGTTTCTCTTCTGCTGCTCGATTTACTACTGTTACACTCCTGCTGCTGCATTACTCTCCTCAAAAATTTTCAAAACGTTTTCAACCAATTTTTTAATATTTGAAAAGAATTTTGAGTAACAACACAAGTGCCATATGCATCAGTTTTATTTATATAGTACTGTATACAACATTTTAATTGTTCTGAGTAGAGCATGACATACACACAACTGCTTTATTTGGCTCACTATATAAAAATATTCTCTGCACAGAACACTTTACATTATTTACATAGGACAGATTCCTGGAAAATATGTGATTAATACCAATCCATTATGTGTTGCTAGAAGTTTAGAGTAACAGGAAGATTAGCATAACTGAGATCTAATCACAGGCCCACATTTCACCAAGTAATGCATTTTTTTTTTTAAGTTCATAGTCAAATGATTTTAGAATTGTATTCAGTATATACCAGTTTTAAATCAAGAAATAAGGGCAAAGATATTGGTAAAAATTTTATTCTGCCAGCATTGTCCTGATAAAACTATAGTGTGATGTGAAACATGCTGCATTCAAAGTCCAACTATATAGCTATAATAGTATGTATTCTACAAAACAAATATGTAGTATAGCAGTATTTAAGAAATTACTATGTGAAGCTTGAAATGCTACAACAGCTGCATCAAAGAGATCTGCTGAAAAACAAATTAATAATAGCTTGTGTATGAAGGGGGTGGGGGATAATTTTAGGAATTCTTTGCATTGACTTAACAGTCATTCACTGTATCCACCAATAGCTCTTCACAAAGTGCAATACGTATATTTAAATATTATAGCTTTCCTGAACTTTAAGCCTTAAATACACATTGACACTATTTCTTTAACAATTGCCACAAATGCAGTAACAAGGAGAAAAGCAAATGTTTTCCTAAGTATCACAGGTTAAATTTCAACAGCAAATTTTTTTTTTAAATTGAATCTTACGCTTAATAACGTTATTAATTTAACCCTTTTGCTGCAACACACTGCATTTTAAGTTTGGTTGTTACTGAGGGAGGATTAGGGTAATTTATATATATATATTTTTAATTTCTAGCAAGAAAAACACCTGTTGATTCTGTTTATAACATTAGACCATTATTGATTTTTTATTTTAAACTCCTGGCTTTGTATTGTGTTTTCCCAATGCATAGAATATCATAAATACTACACAACCAATAAGCATACTTACCAAGGAATTATAGATATTTTACTTGTAAAAAGAAAATATACACAGTAGAGTATATATATATAGATCTTGAAAGATATAGATATAGGTGTGTGTGTGTGTGTATATGTGTGTGTGTGTATATATATATATATATATATATATATATATATATATATATATATATATATATATATATATATATATATATATATATATATATATATATATATTATTAAATACGACCGAAAAAGTAAGATTAATAATTCTAACACGAATTTTCTCAATCTTTCGTA